CCATCCCTAGTCCAGGCAAGTACAATCCCTGGCCTGGGTGTGCATGGGAGGCAACTAATTGATGTTTCTGCCATGTTTCGATGCTTCTCCTTCTCCTTTCTTCTCTCTCTAAAAATGAAAAACTGTCCTCTGGTGTGGGTACAAAGAAATAAAAGATAATTCATTTAAAAAATAAGGATATTAAGTAGAGGACTTTAGTAATGTGATCTGCCTTTAAGAAGGGTCACTGTGGCTGCATTAGGGCGAGACCAGGTTGGAACCAGGAGCAGGAGGTGGGAGGGTCTTACTGCCGGTGAGGAGGGAGTAGCAGGGGTGCGCAGGGCAGCGGGACAGGTTCAAGGCTGTGGGGAAATAGAGCCACCAGAGCCTGGTCATTACTTAGGGTCAGGATCAGGGTGACAACAGAGGATGAGCCCCAGGTTTCCAACTTGGAAACCCGGACCTAGGCCTGTAGTGTGCCCTGGGATTTAGCAAGGTGATATTAAAGAGGGGGGTACTTTTATCAGGGTGATGGACTTGACAAGCCAGAATATAGCGGGGTGAGCTCTGCAGGGAGGTGAGGCAGAGACCCAAGTTTAGGCTATGAATTGGAAGGAAGGGCTCTGGGGTAGGGCAAGGGATTGTCACGATTGTCACAGGAGCAGCCTTGGGTCTGGGGAACTGGGGACAAAGATATCAGTCCCCTGGAGGTATGTAGGAAGATCTAGGAGAAATCAACAGTGGCCTGGAGGAGGTGACGTTGAGTTGGGGCTAAGAATTAGGGAAATTTCACTGGATGGTGGAGGGGCCGGAAAGGGGACGATGTATCACAGACACAGAAGGTGGATCATGGAAGACCGCTGACGAAGAGGGAAGGGTTCGGGCCGGGCACGGGGCCTGCCACGTAGGATCGGAAGGGCAGACAGAACTTCTCCGTTTCCCAGGTCCACCTGCAAGGATTTGGGCAAATGTGAAAACAGCCCATCCACTGAAAAATGACCACAGGGGACTTGCAAGGATGCAGGCTTTTGTGAATGTAAAAGTAGTTTTTCCTTGCATTTGATCTGACCTGGGACTTGGAAAAAGTTTTGTGTCTGTGCAATGGATTTTTCCCCCTCTCACTTCACCTCTACTGCTTCCCCATTGCTTGCAGCCTATCCGGGGACACCCTGTGTCCAAGCTGCTGTGTATCTTCTCGGGCTTGGTGCTGCACTGATTTACGATTTAGGTTTGGTACCTGATGCTTTGCAGAGAACCTCCCTCACCCTCTCCCCGTTGTCATTGAGTGGGTTTTTTTTTTTTTTTTGGAGGCCGCAGCCAATTTGCAGTAATTAATGTGCTAAGAACAGCAGCTGCAGCGGTCATTAATTCCTTAATCTTGGAGTAGAGAGAGGAGCGGATTAGTGAGAGATAAATATAGCTTATGGCATTTTCTCTGGAGAACAAACCCTTTAAAAACAGTGCATTTCTGCTGCGGTGTGGGGTGGGGTAGGAGGAGGAGAGAGAGCCCTTTGCCTTCTTCTTGGGGAATTATTCTTGTGAGAAGGAAGGAGCGGGGTGAGGTAAAAGGGGAGTTCATGTAAAATGAGACAAAAAGGTTGACCCTGGACACCCCAGAGGCTTTCGCCTTCACTCCCAGGACCCCGAGACCTCTGGGTGAAGGTTCGCCTTTGGAGCTGCTACCAGTGTTTTGCTCACACATCAAACATCTGCTCAGGAAGGCAAGCGGGGAGAGGAGAGAGAAAGAAGAAAATCTGAGATGTTTTTCAAGATGAGATGAGAGGTTAGATAAAACTTAGATGGGACGAGAGATCACTCAAAGATGTTAATGGAAATCTTTGCAAACGAAAGCTTAAAGTTTCTTCAATCCAAAGAGCCAATCAGCCATAAATATGTGTGGGTTATTCAGATGCTTCCAAAGGTTATTCGAAAATTGCCTATTTCTCTGCAGAGAAGTGAGCTGTTTACTGCTTCAGAAACATGCCTCAGAGTGAATGCTTTTCTCATTTGAGACGGAGAAAATACCGGAATGCGTGTAATGCTGAGAAATGGTTGATTGGAGAGCTGAGAGGCGCCTGGGGCTGGAACTTAGGGTGGCTTCACTAAGTGTGTGTTGCCCAAGCTTTCAAATGGAGGAAAAAGCCGGCGACGTTGTCCTCCTGTGGCCTGGGCAGGTGCTGGGCTCTTTGTGGGTCAGGTGAAAGGCCACAGCGAGGCAGGTTATGGGGCAGACAAGGGGCCGTGGTAGGGGAGTTTGGTTTCTGCAACGTGGCCCTTGGGGACTGCACAGTAATTCCTCTGTGGGTTACACCTGCCTGGGGCAGGGAAGAGCTCACCAAGACTCTTGATGGGAATCTCATTCGTCCCTGGCTGGCTCTACTTCATGGACTCGAAGTATAGGACCCCTTCTGTATTCTGTGGGAGACCCTGTAACAGAGACTACCTTCTGGCCACTTAGGTAGATTTATACCAGATCCCGATAAGGCATGTTTTATAGTTCTGATCCCTCTTTTTGTGCACTGCTGGGATTGCCTTAACTGGGATCGAATTTATGTCCAAACCAGGGTTGACACAGGGCTTAACAACTGTGACTGCAGTGTCTGGACTCTGTAGCAAAGACAGTGTGGGGGACCCCCTTTCCATGAGACCTTTTTCATTGGAAAAAAAGGTCGAGAGGTGACATTTGCTAAGGGGCTACTGCAGGTAGTGCTGCACCAGGCATTTTTCACATCATATTTTAATTCAACCTTGAAATAATCCTTGAAAGATATTTCCTCATTTTTCCATACGAATGAAGTAATAGGCCCAAGGTGAAAGAGATACACACACACACACACACACACGGAAATGCTGAACTCTCCACTGTGGGGGTTCTTTCAAGGCCTCAGTCCCTGGTTCCCTGGACTTGGGAGAAGTCAACGGGAGTCATCCAGCTAAGCACCCACTGCTGCTTCGGTGACAAGGCATTGAAGGCCTGGTGGCCGTGTACCTCGCCCGCCCTCTGCCCTACTCGGGGACCTCCTGGTGGGCTGCACAAAGCATGGTCCACCCTGTCGATCAAGGTGCCAGGGTTTTCCCTCTGTTCTCCCAAAGCCCTGAGGACTGAGACTAAGTGGAATCACATAGTGTTATTATTTGTACCCTGAAAAATTTATGGCTCTTTGTTAAAATATAGATGAATATGTTGGCTGCTGAGAACTGAAGATAAGAAATAAACCAAGTTGTTGGCAACATTTCCCACGGGTTCCACTTGAGTGAGAATGAATCATTCATTGGATGTTCACGGCGACATCCACCACCAACCTGGCTGCTTTTAGAGGCTGAAGAAAACAAGTTCATTGTTGGTCGTACTGCCGCAACAGGAAAGGATAAAGCAAATTAATGTCAAAGTCATACAATGCCTGAGTCCTCCCTCAGTGTGGTTTAGCCTGTTGGGTCTGTTTGAGGACAGACAGTGCTCACCTGAACCTCCTGATTTAGGCAGGCTGTTTTTAGGTCCCAAGTTTTATCTTGTTTGTGCCCCTAGAGCATGACCCAGCTTGTAGGGCTCTATGAAGAGTAGTTTGTTTACAGCCCCATTTAATAAAGCCTGCTGTAAATTTGGCCCATTTTCACCTTGTCAACACACAGTATAAAACAGCACAATACCAACAGCAGAAGGTTTCATTGGTATTCGGTTTTGATTGTTAACATGGATAGAAGATAAACTGCTTAGCAGCTCCTCACAACCACATAAATTGGATGTCCAACAGTGCAAAACTCCAAAATGCATCTTTTAAGCCTGTGAAAAGAAGCATTAGAGGCAGAACTTAGAATTTGTTTCAACTGAGTTGACAGTAATCTCAGACACAAGGGAGTGTCCTGGGCACTCTCTATTTCTTTGAAAATTGATATGTTATGGCTAAAAGTAGCCAATAGCTCTGGAAGAAAAGCTAACACATTCTTGAATTATCCTTGAGTTCTTGCGCTTGGATTTCAAATTGTTCTAGTCATGGTCTACTCTACTTGAGAGTCTTGACTAACTTTGACTACCTGGTAAAAACTCAAAATTAAACGTAGATCACAAACAGTTTTATACATCAATTGATGATATCAGTGTGTGTGGTTAGAAAAAAGAAACAATTGTTTTTTTCCTTTGGTATATAAATATATTTTATAAATTTGTTATTGATGCTTCTTTGCTAGAGGTAGATTTTCCACTGTGGTAAGAGAAAACATCCAAGCTATTTCCTGCTTGAAAGTCCACAGTAGCTAAATATACTAAAATTACAGGAAAATATACAAATTCCTGAGTTGGCATTCAAAGACCCACCTTGCCAAGGCCTGGGAGGCAATACTTTCCATGGTTTTTGTGAGCCCCAATTCTCCCAGTCTAGAATGGTATTGCCTTCCATCTCTAACTTTGTACCCATCTTTCGCATTTCAAGCTCATTTGATCTCCTCCATGATTTTATTTTTCTACCTAATCTAGATTATTTCCAAATATTTCTATCACTTCTTTGTCATAGAGCATATACCTCTTTAGCAGTAAAGAACATCAATATTAAGCAAGACTTCCAAACTTCCCCATGGCTCATTGCAAACTGAGCACATCATGAGGCCTGGTAGGTCTTTTGATGGGGCGGCTGAGTGGACCATACTCTATTTCTGAAGGGCCCCCAGGCCTGTTGTGGAATAAAATAGTGTTCATTCCCCCAACATTGCACTTCCTGCCTGATGCGTGGGATTGTTTAGGGGAATAAAGGCAGGAATTCCAGTTCTGAAAATACCCTTAAATGTCTTCTCTCAGGTGTTCGGGCTTAAAAGAGAAAGAGAGGCAGCAGTTCTGAAGATGACCTGGGTTTTTCCCACTGCAGTGTGAAGTGCTCCCTGGGTTCCTTACCCACTTCTCAGACGTCTTCCTTCTCAGAGGTTGCATCAGGAAGGGTGTGGTGGGGCTGCTCTGCTGAGGTCTTGTCTGGCTGGAGCCCCTGGAGTCCCTTAATCAGCTTGTTTGGCCTGAGTGGTACGTGGTTACCTTGGAGCTGCCTCTGTCTTCTTCCTCCTCCCACGCTGAGCTCAGCAAAGTTTCCTGAGACTTCTTGAGGTCCCTACAAGCTCTCTGGTGCCTGATGCTGCTCTTCCATTTTGTTTTCACATCATTCTGGTCTAGATGGTGGACTTGACCTTCCCAGGTAAGAGAGTTACCTGATAACCTGCTAGGACCTCTGACTCTTCTTTACCTCGGGTGCAGAGGTGAGGGTAGGGAGTGGAGGTACTATGGTCTAACTGAGCAGCTGGACTCTCGCAGGGTCTTTGCCCTTTGCCAGGTTCTCTCCTTTTGGGGAGGCCAGCAGGGACCTATGTCTTACCTTAGCTTCTCCTTTTTCCCTTTCCTGAAGTTTGCAGTTCATTGTCTGGGGCATTAATGAAGATTCTGACCAGCCTTATGCATGCCCACACTGTTCAAAGTCCTTATCTTCCCCATTTCACTACTAGGTGGTGGGAGTCATGAGGTTTCATAATAGTCATAGTCATGGTACTTTATTGGACATACTTTGTCTGTGAGCAGAAGTCGATTGCCCAGATGGTTGAGGGAGGAACTGGCAGGTGTTTTTTTGTGTATGTGCATGTGGGCATGTGAGAGTGAGGACTGGTACCAGTGATATCAGTTATCAGGTCTTATCACCTGGGTGCTTGACTGGGTTTGTTCCATATCCCAGCCACCCAGGTGCTCACAGGAAAGCAATCCCAGGGTATCGGTGTGGTGTTTGGAAATGAACCCACTTAGGACAGAATTCTGATTCCATGACCTGCTCGCTATGTCTTCCTGGGCAAGTTCTTCAGCCTCTCTTCTCTTTGGTTCCTGATCTGAAGAACGAGGTTTCTGATTGCACCACCTTAGAAGTTTGTTGTGGGGATGAGATGAGGGAAGGTAGGTCAGAGCTCATTGTAGGTTCTAGTAAATGCTAGGGTTTTGTTTTGTTTTGTTTTTTGACTCAGGTCTGTGAGAAATGGGGTGGGGAATGCCAATATTTGCAGATACCCACGATGCACAGGGCTGTTACCTACTGGTCTAATTTAGTCATTCAACTAATACTCATCAAATGCATAGTATGGACTCTCTGCTCTAGGCTCTGGGACAATATTGAGTAAAACTAGACGTGGTGTCTGTCCTCATGTAGCTTATAGTCTCGTGGAGGAGATAGACATGAATCAATGACAAAAATATGCACAGGACTGAACATTATGATATGTGCTAAGAAAGAGAAGTGTAAGGTCCAGGAGCACTTGACCTAGTTTGTAAAATGATTAAGAGTAAATTAAGAGGAAGCAGAGGCACTGGTGTGTGCAAAAGTCATGTGGCAGAAGTGCCCATGGTTTATCTGAGGAATTATAAGGACATCAGTGGGGCTGGAACTGGTAGAAAAGTGGGGGATAATTCTATGAAATGAGACTGATGAGGTAGGTATATAGGAAGAATGACAACCCTCAAGAGATGTCCACGTCCTAGTCTGTGGAACCTGAGTGTGTTACTTTACGTGGCAAGTGGACTTTGCAGAAGTGATTAAGATTAAAGATCTTGAGATGAGATTGTTTTGGATCAGCTGGGTGGGCCCAGTGTAATCATGAGGGTTTTTATAGATGAAAGAGGAAGCAGGAGTGTCAGAATGAGAGAGTGGGTGGGAGGGGTGGCTGTGGGGAGAGGTAGAGAAAGGTTAGAAAATGCCACACTGCTGATTTTGAAGATGGAGGAAGGGGGCCACCAACTCAGGAATCCATCTGACATTTAGAAGCTGGAAAAGCCAAGGAAACAGATGATCTTCTTCTGGAGGCTCTAGAAGGAACACAGCCCTGATGACACCTTGACTTTAGCCATGTGAGACCCATTTTAAACTTCCGACCCCCCCAACTAGAGGATAAAACATTTGTGTTGTTTTAGGCTACTAGATTTGTGGTAATTTGTTCTACAGAAAAGGAAACTAATATAGTAGGCGAGGCCCAGTTTTGTAGGGCAGAAGTGTTCCCGCCTAGCACGTCCTTGGGGACAACCCAAGGGAAGGAAACAGCTGGGGTGCATGTGGTGACCCGAGATAAGGGTGGGGCTGGGTAACCCTGGGGGCCGAGACATGGCAAGATCTGGTGAGTGACCGGCTGTGAAGGACAAAGAAGCAGCTCCATCCATGGCGATCTGAGGGTTTTGAGATTGCAAGAATGAGAAGATAGTGTTTCCGTCCAACATGAGAGGAGGGCGGACAGGGGGCTGGAGTGGACAGCAGACTGCAGGACAGCAGGGCAGAGGGGTTGGGTGTGATTAACCGTGAGCCTGGTTTTACTGATGTTGAACTTGGAGCATTGATAGAAGAGTCAAGCCCTGCAACTTGGGGACACATGGGGTGTAACGGATGAAAAGATAAGAATTAGGTTAATAGAATGGGTAACAGGTGAGGAGTTGAGGTTGAAGATGTGCCTCTGGAAGATGAAGATTGAGATGAGGGGTGAAGCAATGAACATAAAAGGTTTCTTTGAAATTGTCTAAAGATGGCAGGAAAGAGGGGTGGCCCTCTGGCACTCACCGAGTGCCTGCTTTGATGAGACATTAGAATACATTTGACTTCTTGAATATGTGTTAACTGGTTTAATCCTAATACCCCGTTTTGTCCCTCTATTAGGTGACAGGATGAGCATTATTTTTAAAAGATGTTAAGTACAGAATGAGAGAAGTTAAGTAACTTGCCTATAATCAAATAGCACCATGTACATTGTTAGGGCAAAGAAAGTGGATGGAGTAGGAATTTGCCTGGTGTGGTGTCACCGAAGCCAAGGAGTTGGAGGGATGATCTACAATCTCAAAAATTACTCCTTGAAGACCAGCCAATCAGCATCCAGAATCCTGAATGACACTTTGTTAGAACCCACCCTCTGGAGCACTGGGCACCAGGTGCTATTCTTTTGAGGTACGTTTTATTGTCAACTGTCTTTTTAGTTATAGCTTCTATGATGATGATGATGATGATGTTGATGATGATAATGATGTGTGTGTGACAGAGACAGAGAGAGAGATAGTAGAAGTAGATCACTGCTCTCACATGCACCATTAATCTCCCCAACTAGAGAGTCAGGTTATAGATGTTTTTGATCTTTAAGATGCGAGGCCTTCCCAGAAGTACTGGTTATAATTTTAGTGACAAACACTGTGGGAAGTATTTGACTTTTGGCTCGGAAGTTGCATGGTCCAGATGAATCAATAATCTATGACACATCTTTTCAGTTCCCCCCAGTGATGTCTATAAAAGGCAGTCTTTAAAATGGCCCACCCACATTCAGGCAGAATCAGATGGTCCATTAATTCAGATCCGAACTGAAAACTCTCACCTCTCTGCCTTGAGCTTGTTCAGGATGCAGTCTGCATCTAGTTACGAAAATGAATGCTTACGGTGACCGCAGCCCTGCATCCGATACCCCATATGGCACCAGAGTACAGACCCTCAACAGGCACTTTCATCTTTGGTCATTTCAGCCTGAAAATACAATTAGACTTGGCTGTCAGACAGATGAAATCTGTCATATTTCCCCTATAGGAGCTGCACTCAGTCCAGATCAATAAATACAAAACCACTTGCCCATAAATTTCAAACTAGCTTGAGCCTTCGATACGTGTGGGCTTAAATTCCCTCGTATCTGGCATACGCTGCTTCCTGGCCGAGCAGTCTGTTTCTGTGATTAGTGCAATTTCATAGCTGGACCAGAAAAACAAGGCTGAAAACCATCGCTATAAAGCGGCAGATGGCTTTGCCACACCTTCCTGTAAGGGCAGTTCCCCAAGAAAAAGAAAGGCTTTTTTTTTTTTTTTTAGCTTCTTGCTGTATAGAATGGAACTTTCAAATTGGGATGAGTTCAAGTTGTTTCCTGAGTATAGCTCCATAAATCTGTTGTTATTTTTTTTCCTATTCCTCCTTGAGATTTCAAACGGAATTTGTAATAAGCTTCGCCTGGACACGACTTGTCACACGGAAGAGATGTGATTTGTATAGAGATATGAGACGCTTCGTGAGTGCTTCAGAGAGCCAGCTTTTACTCGATGAGACATACATGTTGCACTGGCTTTATGAAGAGTAAGATGTGCTGGCTTTTTCTTCACAGGCTGTTAACCAAGATAACATTTCTTTGAGGGGAAGGTAAATTCTAACCCCTATTTCTTTACCCCCTCGCTGTTCCCCTTCCCCCCGCCTCAGTTCAGCGGAGAGGCCCGATTTCACACAAAGGGAATATTTTTTTTCCAGTGTGACACTGAATTAGGCTGTAAAATTTGCTGCCATAGGATATTAAGTGAGGCAATTAACCTAGACTATTTAGAGGCAAGAATTAGACGTTTGCTATATCTGAATAAGAATATCTCTATTTTCACAAGTTATTGTGGAATAGAAGCCTCCAGACTTCCAAACACAGGTGCTTGCTAAGCAAAGTGATTATAAAATCAGGTCAAGAGAAAAAAAATCTCCTGTAACACACGATATAAAAAGACATGTCAAGTGATGTGCTGTCACTTCCTCGAAGGCCGTGGCTGTTGCAGGTGGACTGTATTCTAAGAACGGCTAAGCCCACCTGGCCGAGGGCCCATCCCTGGCTCCGTCTGGCCATTTTTCTGCTGGGAGTTCATGGAGGCTCAGTGACATTGTCTGATGCTGCCCACTTTGTGACAGAAGCGCTCACATTACAACAGAAGCTCCTCATGACTAGTAAATAGAAACTTGCCTCTGAGGGCTATTTAAAGTCAGCAATTCAAGACAGGTGAAGCAAAGGATACATCTTGTGTCTCTGAGGCAAGCATTTTGGGGGAATCAAATGATTTGTGCAAATCATTCCTGGAGTCATGATAGGCTTTAGAGGTGTTTTTAATTATACCAAGTAAAATCTTACTGACTTAGCAGGTTTGGGTTGGTACAGACCAAGGATCCCCATCCTTAGAAGCTGGAGGAGGGGGAAGGGCATGCGACTGGTCCATGAAGAGGCCAAAGAGTGAACCTTAACAATACAAAACACAACTTACGTGTCATTTTACCGACTAGAGACTAATTTACATGAAAAAGCTGGTTTTAAAACATCTCCCCTGCACTGGCCCTCCAAACTGAGATATATAGGATGTAATATGCAAGGTCCGAAAGGTATCCAGCCTTGTAATATGAAAAATAGAGGCATTTATTAAAGAAGATATAAGATACAAGAAACATTGTACATAAGAAAATGGTAGCTCAGTTCCCTCCAGAGTAGGCACCTTGGGACCTCACAACCATCAGCTGCCATGTCATATTTTCCTGAATCTCATTGATGGTCTGTAATCTCTTCCCTTTCAAAGGTGGTTTTAGTTTCGGGAAAAGCCAGAAGTCACAGGGCACCAAATCTGGTCTGCAGTGGGGCTGAGTCACCTGGGTGATTTGATGTTTCACCGGAAAACTCTGCAGGAGATGTGATGCATGAGCAGGCACCTTGTTGTGATGAAGCTGCCAATCACCAGTTCCCCAGAGCTGCGGCCTTCTGAATCATCTGAATAGTTTCCACAGAGGAATGTTCAAGCTTAACCCAAAATTGATGCAGATTTGTTGCTGTACTCACTCATTTTGAATGTGACGGCCACACAGCACACATGCTCACTCAATGGCATCTACTGATGCCACTGACTAGTACAGTGAAGTCAGCATTGTTCATGCATGTGCATTCCAGTCCACTCTCCTTGGCTTCCGGGTTACACTGATGTCACACAAACTGTTCTTGTTATATTAATAATGGCTGGACTTTTTCCAGACAGACTATATATCTCCTAACAGGAAACAAATGCGACACTCAAATTAGGGTAATTCAAGGAGAACTAAGAAGGTCTATTTACTAAGAGGTAAGCTCATGGAAACCAGAAGGGGTAGTCTGGGAAACTGGGTTTGCAACAGTTGAGCTGTTACCACCCCTGAGGCTGACAGGGTGTGAGCAAGGAGAGCTCACCCAACCAGAGCCGTTATCAAACCTATAAGAAGACTTTCCTAGAGCATGTCTTTGGAGGGAGGGGCCGTGACCTTCAGTGAGGGCATCAGGACACCTCACGGAGAAGCAGCTGGAGAGACCCCACCCTGACCTTGCTCCTCACTGCCCGTGAGGGCTTCCCGTGGGACAGAGGGCACAGCAGCCCAAATGATGTGCTCCGTATGGAAAAGAGCAGAGGAGGCAAGCGCGTCTCCACCAAACGGAAGACTCATTTCCTGAGTGGCATGCTCACCTCACTTCCTGAGTGACAATACAGTCCATCAGATAGAATTTTGCTTTCTTCATAACACTCACCCGAGAGCCTTTGCATTGCAAGAATGGTAGTTTGGAGCCAGTGGGTGTTTCTAGAAGGACAGGCTTATTGTGAGAATTCGGCGCATCCAGAGGACTGTATGAGTCCAGAGGGCTTGGTACAGCTGGGGGAGTATCCTTGCCCAAGTGGGGCAGGGGAAGGTTGAGGTGGGAGTGCAAAAAGGAGGCTGTACGTGACTTCGTGCAGTTGGAGAAAGCACCACGTACTTCACTTCCCAAATTTTACTGAGGTGGAGACTGAGTCAGAGAGGCTGTGTCTGAGCGCAGGGTCATGTGCGAGTGACTGCAGAGGCAGAAGTCAAATCTCGGTCCCTTAACTTGCTGTCCACTCAACTCATTCCTGCTCGTCGCTTCTTCTCATTCTCTCAGAAGGTTTACATGTCGGCGTTTCCGAGTTGTCTTCTCAGACCTTTCTCTGCGGGCTCGTTGCCTGAGATGAGGTGATTTTTCAGAAGGAAATAGGGCACGAAAGTTGTGGTTTGCTGAACTTAACATCATCTGATCTGGAAGAGTCATGACTGTGGAAGAGGGAGACATCTGTAAGTGATGTGTGTGCTTCTGAGATAAAAACAGAAACTACAATAACATCAGGGGAGAAAAAGGACTATGTTGGAAGATCCTCTGACTACCTGACAATTACTGCTGGAATCCATGCTCTCTCCCACTGGAGCTGAAATGTCCTCTAACGAAATCATTATGGCCGTAAAACCTTGGAACTCATGAAAATTTATGAACGGAAAATAGAGATGTTGAAGGAATGACCTGAGGTGGAGACAACAGAGCCTTAGACAAAACTATAAATGATGCATTAAACTAAGCGCAATATGAACTTGAAGTTCCGCCACATTCCCCACTGAGTTGTGGGCAAAGCCAATAAACTCCGTCATAAATGAGGATGTATTTCGGGCACGTGGTTTCCAGCCTGGAGAGGTACAGGTGCTCTCTGTGACTTAGTTACTGCATGAGACAGAAATTAGGTCACAGTCAGCTGATGTGTTCTACCGCTTTCCTTTTTACTTCCACGGAACATTTTTATCTGTTTTCTCCTTTTTCATCTTTCAGAGTATGCACAGGGATTTGAATTCCAAGGTGTCTGGTACTAGAAGGCTGGTGGTAAGATCGACACAAAGAATTGAGCTTTGTGCACCGGAAATCTCACAATAAACCTCTGTCCTCATCATAACATCACCTGATCTTTCAAAAGCGTTCCCCACTGAAATGTGCAGTTATACGTGGTCAGGATGGGGATAGCATGGCAGACAGTACTCCCTGGAGCTGGCTGCTCAGACTTGTCTAGCCGGAACCTTCCTTTTGTATCAGCCTCTTGGGGACCACAATTTCCGTGGAGTTCACTGCCATGAAAGGAGGCTGTCGTTGCCAAGCCATGAGACTTTAAAGCAGATTACTCAGCTAAGCTGCCATTTTAGGATTCCGACATTCATCTCATGCTCTGTTACCTGGAGAAAAGGGGAGAAAAGCGAGACAGACGCTCCATGACAATAAAGTACGGCAGGCGTTAACGCTGATGGACAGAAGGAGAGGTTTGGGCTGTGGACTTGCCTGGTGGAGGACAGATGCCACAACTTTTGGTTGTGCCTTTGCAAATGGAGAGACATTGGCTAACTGCTCCCACAGGAGGGGGCTTGATTACCACCCACTGGCCTCATTTGGGGGGGGTCACGATATAAAAGTGGGTGCTTAGAAGAGTCAGCAGGTCTGATTAATATCCTCGAGGCAGTGCTTATGAGCCATTTTTGGCCCATCGAATGGCTAATAATAAAATACAGTGGTGCAATTTGTGTTTTTACTGCAGGCCAATTAAGAAGGGGGAGAGAGTGGGAAGTAAAGTGACATGTCCTTGCAAAGCCGAAACAACAGTCATAGCAGCAGGAGGGGGACAAAGACAGGCGCAAGGGAAGCAGCCAGCCACTTAGAGCAGCTAAAAGGGTCAGGCATCTCATGTCTTGTTGCCCACCCCCTGCCAGAAAATCCCCCTTTCCTGCTGGCTTGTAGGGCACTGGATATTTTCAAAGGGGAATAATTATGTGGCAACATATGTTCATCCAGACAGAGATTGGTGAGTTTCAAACAGAGTGGTATTTAAAAAAAAATCGCTGGAAGAGGAAATGGTGTTTCTCAACATTCTTATCGAGTTCTGTAAGGCTTGCATCCTTGGGTTTTGTGATTTAGCCTTCCTTCCTTGGTCTATTTTAAAGCCAGGAGAAAGAAGGCTTAGAACAAACTTTTATCATTGTATTATTATTTTCCCCCCAGTGTTCATTGAGGGTAGGTATTTGAGTGTGGGTTTAAAACAATGTGCCCTTTCTGCAGTGCTGGGGTGCACTAATCACTCTAGGAAATTCTCTTGGCATTTCCTGACCAGGCTGCTTCTTAAGGTACTGTTATTTTCTTTGGCTGCCTGGAGACCAGGAAGGAGAGAGAGATGGAGGAAGGGAGGAGGAAGTAAGTAAGAGAGGGGGAAGTATGGAAGGGGAGTGAGGGAAATAAATTCAGGTTTAACTTTATGAAGTAAAAGGGAGAGAGGGAGGGAGGAGGAAGGAAGAATCAGGAATCAATGGAAATTGTTCATAATTTGAACCACCGAGGGTAAAAGCTTGCCACTTAAGACCAGTGGAGGAAATAAATAGTGCCTACTGCCCGTGGGACAAGATGAGAACTGGGTGGGGGTAAGTTTGTCAAGCTTTTTGCACATCCAAATGTATTTGGTCACTGAAGACACGCGGATCGATCCTGGAGAGTGAAAAAAAAGAGGAAGAAAGGTCTAGGTAATGTAGGGCCTAAATATCACTACTGAGAACTCTGGTGAGGCAGGACCAGGGTGAAGTATCAACTCTAAGTTCTCTGTTTAAGTGGAAGGAATTCCTTGGATATTTGCTCACCCATCTCTTTCTGGTTTTTTTTTTTCTGCACATTCTGTTTTGACTTTTTAAAAAACAATTTCGAGCTTTGTCTTTTTTCCCCTGGTTATAAAAACAAACCCCAAGTATGAGCCCTTTGCTTTTCTACCTCAAGGAACTCACCCTGTGGTCTTGGGGGAACATGGTGTTTGTCTCACGTCCCTGTCTCAGTTGTCCCCTGGCCACTGTTTGCCTGAGTCGTGCACCAGCCTTGGTTGTTCTGGGTGAAAAAGAGTAGCCCCGTGGAAAGGGGGGCAGGGGAGTGTTAGCTGCTCCCCTGACCTTGCTCTCAGGTTATCTCCAGCAGCGAAACTGTGAGAGAATTCCACCAAGTATGCAGGAGCTCAGCAAACAAACAACCCCGAGTGAGCAGGCAGAAAAGAACTCTTCCACAGATTCACTGAAGTCTTGTCTCTTCTCCTCTGTGGGGCTCCGGCTGTGACTTCAGTGGAACGTGCACGGGAGGCAGAAAGCTCTCCTGAATTCTTGAGACGACTTTCACGTGCCCTTCATGTGGGCAATCGGCAGCTGGAAGTCTCTCAACTGGGGGCTGGGTCCCAGGCTGCTTAGGGATCTGTGAGTGAGGGGACAGCTCTGAGTGTACAGGTGGGCCTCTGTGAGTGAGGGGATGGAAGGCCCTGAGCATACAGGTGGGCCTCGGGCTTCTCTAGAGAACTTGTTTCCCTGCTCAGGCAGGGGGAGGAGGTGTCTCTCCAACACTGAAGCCGGTTTGCATCTCTTGCATTCCACAAATTTTACCAATGATTGTCCGTTTCTAATATCTATTATGCTCATTTACAGCCCATTAATTTCCCCTATGAAAACCCATTTCTGAAATTCAGTATGCTAATTAGCAAAATGTTTCTTGTTGATTAGAGATATGGATTATAGAAGGCTTTTAGTAATCACCTCTGGAGTTCGGCCTTTCTGCTAAAAGGCTTTGTGACCGCCCTGGGGTGTGGACAGCTGATTACTGCAGTTGTCTGCTCCTAGGGTGTAGCCCAAGCTGTAAAGGAAAACAACCCCATGCAAATCTACCCTGTACCACACTTGCTCACTATTGAGTAAATCACGGGTGCGTGTGAATCCAAATCCTTATACTGTGTAAGTGGCCATATATAATATTGTGTGTGTGCTATATAATAAGTGATTTCCCTTTGGGCACTCAGGTGGTTTCTAGCATTTTCCTATAGTAATTAATGACATTCTTATTTTTACTCAGTTGTTCTGTTCTTTCCTTAAAATGAATTCCTAGAAACTGGATTTCTGGGTCAAAGATTTGCACGTTTACACATTGATACATGTTGCTCGTGTTCTACATTCTAGGAGAGCTCGTCCTGTGCATTGATTTTGAAGGCGGGCGTATGAGGATGTGCAATTGCTTATCTGCCTGTCAGTGTCTGGTACGGTCAGTCTTCCTAATCTTTGACGGTGTCCTGGTGTCTTCCTCAGTCTCACCGCCTTCCATTCTGCTGTGTGGGATTCCACTGATTCCACGATTCCACTGACGACTCACGAATGTACATCTCCTTTCCAGAGATGGAAGAGAGCTTTGGAACTTACCTTCTTGGATTCCGCTGACTGCTTGACATCTGCACTTAGATTCATAAAAGGCATCTTAAAGCCAACGTGTTAGAAGCTAAAGCCCTCAACCCACCCTTCCCCCACCTGCTTCTCGGTCAGTTTCCTCATAGTTAGTGGCTGTTCCACCCTTCCGGTTTTTGGTGTTCAGGCCAAAAACCTCAATACCGTCTTTAACTTACCTTTCTGATGTCATATCTAATACTCTGCTACCACCTGGCCCGATGCACTGTCATCTCTCACCTGGATTATTGGAATAGTCCCCTAATAGGTTGTCCTGCTTCTCAACAGGGAAGCCAGAGTGATTCTGGTAACTCGTGAGATAATATCACCCCCTGGTCAGTACCCTCCGATGCCATTCCCTCTCATTCACGGTGAATGCCTACATCCTGGCAATGGCCCACAAGGCCTGGGTGACATTGTCCCCTCCTGTCACCTCTTTCCTTGCCCGTGTTTTCTACTGCTCTGGCCCCACTGGCCTTCTTGCTCTTCCTGGAACACATCAAACAGCTCCTGCTGAGGACTTCTCCTCGGCCCAAAGCTCTGCCTGGGCCCCTAGGTGGGCTCACTCGGGGAACCTGGCCTGATGTGATGGTCTGATTGAAATGTCATGGGTCTCACCCTTTAGCATCTCCCATCCCCCTTTCCAGCTTTATTTTATTTCGTAGCACTCATTCTTTAGTATATGACACAGTTTATTTATTTATCTTGTTTGTTGCTTATCTGGACCCAGTAGAATATAAATGTCACAAGGACGGAACTGTTTCCTTCTGTCTTCTTTATTCCCAGATCCCCAGCTCTTTTGTATAATGCTTGTCCCATAATGGACACTTGACAAATTTTTGTTGAGGAAACCAATGAATAAATCTGAAAGGTAAAAAATTAAACCTCATCTTTATCTGCATTTCTTTTGATTACTAGTGGGTGGAATTTTAATCATCTCGGTGTACAGAAGGCCTTCCTGAGCTTAATAATAAATTCACAAAGTGTGAAGGAAAAAATTGATAGACTTGACTGATTACAAATTAAAAGCTCCTGCATAGGAGAAAAAAAATCTCTGCCGCAAACAAGATTGACAAATAGGAAACCTACTTGCAATACCTATTTCAGAACAACAAGGTTAATAGCCCTAATACACAAAGAGTGCCTACAAATCAATAAAAAAGATGAACACTGTAATAGGAAAATGAATAAAGAGAAAAACTGCCCAGTCACCAGACAAGAAGCACACAGAGGTACCCGACAAAGCTCTACCACCACTTTACTTTTTCTGAAATGCGCCTTCTCTGTATTGGAGGGAGTTTTCGTTTCCCCCTGAAATTAATTTCCGCGTGTCTTGTTTTCTCTAACCACCACGGAGTATTTCTGGCTGCTTTTCCCTTAGCAAACAGAGCCCCATGACCTGCCTCACCCCGATTTACAAATGCCTCCCCTTTCCTTCGCCCCCAACAGATGCTACTCTCACAGGTGTGACGCCCCCCCTTCAGCAGCGAGAAAGAACTGCAGCGTGGGGCCCAGGGCCACGCTCCTTCGTGTGGAGCCGTCCCCTTGCAATATTCTGAATCACAGAAAACGTGCAGATCTGCTCTTTGAACAACGATAAAGACCTGTTTGACTTAAATAGCATTCCACGAGCGGACGCACCAGGCATGCTGATGAGCCGTGTTTGGCCGTGGAGCGCCCTCAGCTTATTTTGCACCAAGTTTGTACACGGAGCTCTGAAATTGTTATTATTTATTTTTGCATGCCAGGTGCAGTGCCCTTGTCTCACTTTGGAGTGAGCATTTTGTCTCATTCAGAGCTACGTGTCTCTAAACACAAAGGGAGATGAAAAAGGGAGAATCATTGACCGGAAAACGCCAGAGTGGGAGTGGGCAGCGAACAGAGTGAGCACAGACCGCGGAGGCCAAAGATGCGCCTCAGACTTTGGTAACGAGAGAATCCCTGGCAGACACCTACTCTGCACTCTAATTGGACCACCTCCGTGTTCCCAGAAGGAGAGTCTGGGAAACAAAATGCTCCCTGGTGCCCGGGTCCGTGTCGAATCTGCGGAACCTGCGAATACGCTATTTTACATGGCAAAGGGGACGCCGCAGATGGGATTCCAGGAAGGGTTGTCAGAGGAGGGAGGTTACCCCAGACAATCCTGGGGGACCCAGGGTAATCCCAAGGGGCCTTGTAAGTGAAAAAGGGAACTGGGAGTCAGGATCAGAGAAGCAGGTGTTGGAGCAATGCTGCCGTTGGCTGGGGGCCAAGGCCAAGGCCTGTGGAAGCTGCAAAAGGCAAGGAAACAGATTCTGCCTTGAACTGCTGCAAGGAACGCAGCTCTGCCAGCACCGTGGCTTTAGCCCGTAGGACCCATTTGGGCCTCTGACCCCCTGCTCCGTAAGCACGCCTCGCTTTACTGTGATTTGCTTTCTTGCACTGCACAGGTGTTGCGTGTTTTTGTTTTTAAATAATTGAAGGCAAGACCCTCCTCTAGCAAAAGGTTTCGACTCACTTACATCGAAAAACTCACTTTAATGTGATGGTCTGGGACCGAACCCGCAGTATCTCCCTCCAAGATATGTCAGTGAAAGAGAATACCTGGGTGTTTGTTGTACACCACTAGATTGGCAGTAGATTGTCACAGCAGGAAAAGGGAATTCGTGCAACGCAGCTGAGCCCAGTTTCGTTACGTCACGGCCACTGCTCACCTCTGATGTGGACTGGGAGTCCCTGGCAGGTGCGATGGGGGGAGGGCCCCGCTCAGGTGTGCCTGCCACGGGAGAGCACGTGTGACCCGCGGGCTCTGGCCTGGCGGCGCAGCCGAAGCACCTGTGGAACTCGTGAAAACTACGGAGGCCCGGCCCTTTCCACACCGCCCGGGTTTCCTGCTGCCGCCCAGGGGCCTGGACGGTGCTTTGGTCTCAGGTCCCACAGGTGGCAGTGAGACCAGTAGACAGCGGCATGAACCTGGTTGTCGCTGCACCTGCTGGTGCCCAGGGTCTCAGCCTGCAGACAGA